GATTTTTCCCCACTGGTTGTGCCCCTTGCTGGCTGAGCCCTGTGGGGTGTGGACAGGGGCTTCAGTCAGCAGGAATTTTAAGGGAATGTGTCCTTGGGAGTTCAGGGCACGTAAAAGGCAAAAAGAAGCAATAAATTTTGCAAATAAAAGGAAAAACCCACAAAAAGTCCCTCACTACAAACCCAGAAAGTCTCTCTCTATTTAAAGTTGGTCATTGTGAACTCCCATTTTGTGGAGCAGGCTGGGCCCAGGCCCTGTCCATGTGTGATTTTTGGGAAGAACAGTTCAGGGAATGAGGCTGACCAGCCACTTGAAGCATTTGGAATTAAGTTCTGATGTTATGAAAAGACAAAGAGGTTTCAGAGGTTTGCTTTCTTTTATTTTCCTGGGCTGGTGAATCCTCAATCATAAATTCTCCTCCCCATTATGTGATTTTAATGAGTGGGGGTTAATTGTGCCAAACATTTTCTGACCAGAGGGTTGGTGTTGGATATGGCCTGGCTGTTCCAAAATGGGAAAGGAGATGGGGAGGTGTAAAATGGGCCAAATCCTGGGAATTGTGTGGGGAGGAAGGGGACAAATCCACTTCCCCCTGGACTGTCCCAGTATGACCAGTGGTAAGGGGGACAGAATCCTTTTTGCAGAACTTGGGGGACTGGTGACATTGGTGCCACATGCCAGGAAGGGGCTTCCAGGCATGGGACCAGGTATCCCCGGCCCTTGGGTGCTGCTCCTGTCCCCACAGGCCCGGGATGGGGACATTTGCCCTGGCACAGCCCCTCCAGAGGGTTTGTCCCTGTCCCCCACCCCGGTCTGCTGGCATCTCCCTGGGAGACAGCAGGGAGGCAGAGCAGGAGCTCTGGGATGCTCCTGGCACCCCTGAGCTCTCAGATGTTCTCCCTCTGCAGACCCATCCCTACAAGCCAGAAAATACCCATTTTTGGGGGGATTTCTGTATCAGGAGCTGTGACATCAGTCCCCAGCTAGTGCAGGTGGGGTTTGGCTCCCGGCGTGCCCCATCTCCTGGGATTTTGTGCTTTCAGAGAGACAGAGCCTGATGACAGCCTCAGCCATGGGATCCTCTGCCTGTTCCTGCCCTTCCCTGCCTGTTCCTGCCCTTCCCTGCCTGTTCCTGCCCTTCCCTGCCTGTTCCTGCCCTTCCCTGCCTGCTCCTGCCCTTCCCTGCCTGCTCCTGCCCTCCCCTGCCTGCTCCTGCCCGAAGCAGAGCGCCAGGGGAGCACGCAGGGCTGTGGAGGATCCAGGAGCACCCTGGGGTGCTGATAACCCGCACAGCTCCGGGCGTTGGGCTTATCTCTGAGCCCAGCTCCGGCCCCTCCGTCACTCCCCCGCGGAGCCTTTAGCCAGGTGAGGCTCTCTGAGGTCCCGCGGGCCGTTCTTTGGCACCCCCTGGGTTGTTGTCAGGGTGCAGAGGCAATCCCCCTCCCCAGGGCGCTCCCTGGCCGTGGCAGCACCGCCGGTCCCGTCCCCTCCCCAGGGCTGCCGGAGAAGGTCCAAGGTCCCGAGGCTGCCTGGAGGAGCTGGATCAGCCAACCCCACACAGGGACAGGCTGATTCCCAAGCTGCTGCCAGAGATAGTGTGGTTTATAGATCCAGATTGATTTATTTTCTGTGTATTTGGGTCTTTTCCAGTCATATCTTAGCTCCCCCACACCTTGGAGTGTCTGGCTGAGCACAACCAGCCCCGACTGCCACCCTTGGTCCTCCCAGCCTTTGTGGCATCCCAAAGCCAGGGTACCACAACCCTTTCCACATGTCAGGAATAATTTCAGGGCTATGGATGTTTGGACAACCCTGATCCTGCAGAATGGGTTTGACCCCAGCAGCATCCCAGCTCCTGGATCCCAGTGATCCCAGCACTCTCATCATGCCTCAGCCATGACTTCCAGCACCCAACTTCCCACGCTCATCTCCCAGTGCTCCCATTTCCACCAGCAGCCTGCACCCAGCTCCAGTGCTTCCAGTGCTCCCAGCAGGCATCAGCCATCACTCCCAGCATTCGCACCCAGTTCCCGGGAATTCCAGCATTCCCAGGATCTGTCTCCCAGTGCTTCCAGTACTCCACACCCATCTCCCAGTATCCAGATCCCAGTGCTCCCATCTCCCAGCACTCCCAGTATCCATCTCCCAGCACTGTCAGTATCTATCTCCCAGTACTCCCATCTCCCAGCACTCCCAGTGTCCAGCTCCCAGTGCTCCCATCTCCCAGTGCTCCCAGTGCTCCCAGTGCTCCCATCTCCCAGTGCTCCCA